GGGGAGGGCGGCGAGCCCCCAGCGGCCAGAGCGCTGGGGGGAGGGCGGCGAGCCCGCCGCGGCTCTCCGCTCTCCCCGACCAGCTGGAGCGCCGGGGGGAGGGCAGCGAGCCCGCTGAGGCTCCGCTCTCCCTGGCGGCCGGAGCACTGTGGGGAGGGCGGCGAGCCCAGTCGCGGCCCCGCTCTCGGGCCGGAGCGCCCCGCCGCCCCCCTCCGGGCGCCGCCCCAAGCACATGCTTGGTGGGCTGGTGCCTGGAGCCGGCCCTGCACAGGAGATGTATGGGGAGCAGAGAATAGGCATGACTGATGAATGGCACAGACGTACAATGCTGAAATTGAAATGGGGAGCTGTAACTAATCCCTGGGTCAATACAGCTACACCTAACACAGTGAGGGTCAGTGAGAGGACTGAAGAGGAATGATGGTATAGAATTGTGTTGGACACAACATAACAAAACCTGTCATTTTCTGTGTTAGGGATAGGTCAGATTTGGTTTGGCCTCTGTACCTATTGCTAGCTCCAGGGAAGCAGAGTTTAAGGTTGTGTGGAGGTGTAGTGTAGAGACATTACCTTAATTCTGTATTTCCTGGTTTTCAGAAGTTTAAGTTTGCCTTAATTCTGTATTAATGAAGTTTTCTGGCAGTGAATATTCAACCTTATATATGCAACCCACTGGTCAATATGTATTATATGGCCTCCTCTGTGCTTAATCCACAGAGGATGTCAGACTGTTGCCAGTTCAGTCCGTGGTGTGTTGGCCAAGGTGGCGGCTGTCACATACACACTCATATTTTAAGTATCTACCCTCACACCTCTGAGAATAGAGCCTCTCTGGAAGCAAACAACTTTAAAATTCCATAAAAGAATTCTTTAATAAACACTTATAAATAAACACTTGAGAGCTGTTACGTGAAATGCATGCAAATTGCAAGAGAATAGATAAATGCATAATTTAACCTTTACACTGAAAAAATTCTGAAATAAATACTGTTAATGTAACTTTTATGTTTTAAAAAATTAATTGGGCAATAAGAATCTTTCCTAGTGAAGCCTGTTATTTCTGTACCTGACGGTGAATGCTGCTACGTGAAGGAGAATGTGATATATTCCATAACATGCATTGATTGATTTTGCAATGTAGTACATAAATTACAGAACTGCATTGTGTTTTAATATGAGTTACCTTTTGACTTCTTGCTTTTGATGGGCAACAAGAAAAGTCCAGTTTACTACCTTTCTGCACTTTCTGTGGAAGTGGGGGAAATCTATGCTCCCGCAGAAGGAGTCACTGGGACAATCTGCACTTGACAGGCTGTGCCATACCTAGAGGGAATCTGTGATGCTGGAGATATCCAATGGCTGATGGGTTCTTCCTACCTGCTACCACTATGCGGGGAATCACTGTAATGGGGGGGAAAGTAGGGGAGCTCAGTGAGAGTCAATATTGCACCAAGGGAAAAGCATGGCTGATCAGCATTCCTGTCCATAGGCATTGTGGCTCTGTGTTGCAGTGTGATGTCTAATGTGTACCAGGAGTGCTGGCTGCCACTGAATGAATGAAAAATCTGGTTTTTCATTTTTTGGGAACAAACTTGACTCCCAGATCCCACCCTATATCAATCCCTTAAAGACACTCACATTTTTGCAGGACTCAAAGCTGGGTTGACCAGGTGCCAGCTCCCCAATCAGCAGCAAGTTCATGGACTTTCTCATCAGTGTTTTATTAATATGGAAAGCTACAAAGGCATCCTGTAAATGCACAAAGGAATAGGGTGAGAAAACAACACACCAAGCATGGGGAAACACAAACAACATGAAACAGTAAGAAGCAATACTGTTCGGGAAGGCCCCTCTCCTCCTTCTCTATCTATTCAAGATATTGCTGGGATAAAGTTTAATACAACACTGTATGCACTCTATTTTAAGCTTAATTACATTAAAATAAACTGTGGTTGATTGGTATATGTCTGCACACGTCAATATCAAACTACAAACTGCATTTTGTTTTGTGATTGTCATTTGGATTGTAAACTGGATTTTTGCCCCTTAACCTCTATTTTGAGCTAAAACACACCAGAGAAATTCCTGCACCTAGCAAAGGGCTAAAAATAGCAATCCAAATAATCAACCTGTTGCTCTTCCAATCAAATGGAAGCACCACAGAACAATGATCTGGCTGCTGTCCAGAGGAACCAGTTCCCCCTGGTGAGTGACTCATCTGGCAGAGGGGACTGAAATTTATAAAAGGGATGATCTCTCAGTGGTTATTTTAGAAGAGACTATCAAGAGATGGTAAGCGTGGATAGGAGAAGAGATCTTTTTATTTTCTAAATGAGTATAAGTAGAGATTCAATCTATTGAAACAGCATCAGCAAAACATAACAAACAAAACATAACAGCATCAGCATAAAGATATGTCTGAGTCTAATAAGGTTGTTCAGAAATTGGTATTCTAGCGGTAAGAGCTACCAAAAGTGGGAAGGAAAAGTTATTCTACTCAGTAGTTTGTGCAATATCAGATAGGTTCAAAAACATCCTACTGCATATCTTGGGCTATAAAAAGCCTTTTCATTTGAATATGCATCAAATAATAGCTTTGTCTCCTTGTGGTTTAAAAAAAGTACCTGAATTTGAATATTCAGATTAGGAGGGTAAGGAATGGAAGTTGCACATCCTTTTTCAATTTTTTCTTTCTGCTACTTCATAAACATCCAAAATTAGGATTTGTGTAACTTTAGCCATGACAGAAAATATGATTCTTACTACAGCTGGTTGGGAATTTTCTGATTTTTGTTGTTGTTGTTCTTGGAAAATTCCAATTAATTGAAACTGAAATGTTTCATGGGAATGTACCAGTTTTGATGGGAAAAGTTTCTTGGGTTCAGGATGGAATGTTGAGAGAGATTCAACCCAGAATAGCCAGGTGGTTAAGGCACTGATTTGTGAAACCAAAGTGCAGAGGATCTTGAACTGGGGTTTTCCACATCCCAAGTGCAGGCCTTAACCACCAGGCTGTTTGCTCTCACATACAAACACACACACATATGTTTACTTTTGAAAAGTCTCAGGTTCATTTCGGCAGGTAGAAAAATAGTTTCCCACCCTCCTCTATTCTTAATCCCTAAAAACTGTGACCTACATGTTCAAGCTGTGCCACAGCTGAAAACATTCATGTTATGTGCAGCGGCAGCCTAAAAGGCTAACAGAATGTTAGGAACCTTAGGAAAGGGATAGATAATAAGACAGCAAATATCATATTGCCTCTATATAAATCCATGGTATGCCCACACCTGGAATACTGGGTGCAGTTCTGGTCATCCCATCTCAAAAAAGATATATTAGAGTTGGAAAAAGTGAGTTGGGCAACGTAAATGATGAAGGGTTGGGAACATCTTCCATATGAGGAGAGATTAAAAAGACTGGGACTATTCAGCTTGGAAAAGAGATGACTAAGTGAGGATATGATAGAGGTCTATAAAATCATGACTTGTGTGGAGAAAGTGAATAAGGAGTGTTCTTTGCTCCTTCATATAACACAAGAACCAGGGTCACCCAACGAAATTAATAGGCAGCAGGTTTAAAAGAAACAGAAGGAAGTACTTCTTGACACAACGCACAATCAACCTGTGCAGCTAGTTGCCAGGTGTTGTTGTGAAGGCCAAAAGTATAACTGGGTTAAAAAAAGAATTAGATAAATTCACGGAGGATAGGTTCCTCAATGGCTATTAGTCATGGTGGTCAGGGACACAACCCCATGCCCTGCATGTCCCTAGCCTCTGATTGCCAGAAGCTGGGAGTGGATGACAGGGAAGGGACCACTCAATAATTGCCCTGCTCATTCCCCCAACCTGGCATTGGCCACTGTTGGAAGACAGGATACTGGGCTCAATGGACCATTGGTCTGACCCAGTATGGCTGTTCTTATGTTCTTAGCTCTTTTCAGGGCAGCTTGGGCTGGGGTGGAGGACAAGGGAGCTGTAAGTCCCTGTATTCCCCTGCACACCTGCACTGTTAAGGGCCAGGCCAGTCCCAGACATAATTTAGACCTCCCTTAGGCTGCTCTACATTATGGCTGGCTGCAATAGCCTCAATGAGGCATTCCACAGTGTGACCAGAAGCAATCCTGTATTCACAAACTACCCACTTTGTAATAATCTTTATACAAAATATGCCTTGTGAGGTATCATTTGAAAACTGCTGGTCAATAATATCATGGTGAAATATATGTAGCGGTTATTTATGTAAAGTTATGAAATCCCCCTTATGATGTTGTCGCCAGGAGGGCTTTGGCTTCCTAGACCACGGGATGCTATTCAAGGAAGGACTGCTAGGCAGAGATGGTGTT